TATCGCTCTTGCGACTTGCGCGCGACTTGGAGCTGCCGCTTGACTTGTAACTGCTGAGCGTCCCGCTGCGTGACGGCCGCGCGGTGTCCTTGGCCAGCTTGCGGCGGTGCTTGAGGAACAGCACACCCGCCACGAGAACGACCGCGGCCACTGCGGAGAGGGGGACCGCGAAGGCCACGGTCGGCGGCGCTGACTTGGCGGAGAAAATGTTCGGGTCGAGGGTCGCGGCCGCGGAGGCTGGGTTGAGAGCACTTGGCGTTATCGGTGGTAAAGAACTCGGGAGAGCCGGAGAGCCAGGGTACAGAGGCGAGGCGAGCGTAGTCACAGGGGGATTTGCGGGACCCAATGGCGCTTGAGCTTGAGGTTGGGTTCCCGCTATGGGCTCGGACCCGCCCGGGGAGATACTAGGGGCAGATGCGCCGACAGCTAGACGAGAAGAGAATTAAAGTCTGGCGAATGCTGCTCAAACAGCGACACCGCTCACGACTGAGGCTGAACACGGGTGAGCGCATCTTGTTCCCCGCGCCGTTTTCCAGTTGCAGATAGCACTCCTCGTCAGACACGATGGCGGGCACCATCAGTGAGGCCTCGTATGCTCCTGCTACTTGATTTATTGAGGGCCACATCGCTGGACCACAGTCGCCGGAATCCACCGCACAGAATTTGAAGGAAGGTGATTCGATCGGGGCCGGAGAGTCCCACTTGGCGAGTATCATAGTACCAGGACTGTAGACGTCTTTGTCGAGCGGACTGATCCACCCTATATTTGGTGTTTTGCTGGCTCTGTCGGCGTGAATCCCGGTGAGGCGCGTTTGAGGAAGATGCATGATAAGTACAAGCAGAGAAATAGCCTTCTAGGCGGGTGAATATGATTTGAAAGGTTTGAAGTGGTTATACGCCAGCGTACAAAAAGATTAAGAAGCTTGAGACAAAGAGGAAGATAGATTGTCGATGTTATTATTCCACGCCATCGGCTTCGCCATGGCACATAGCAGTCAAGTAACCCCCATCTCCAGATCTTTTATTATATGCAGTTTGTCTAGTCTAGCTTGGTTCTAGGATTTTTTTTAACGACGCCCCAAACTGAAGTTCAATTCCTACACCTTCTTTAGATAAGGAGTCAACTCCGCGATGAGCCTCTCCTCATCCTGGAAGCCTTTCACCAGCTCACGCAGCCCGCCCTCCGTCAAAAACTTGTGGTCCTCCCAGTGGAACCCTGGGACAACCACCTCCGTAATCAAGCACCCGAGCCGCCTCTTCTCCTCTTCCGTCTGTGCCTGCCCAACGTCCTCGGGCAGGAGCTTCGACATCTTCCACACCCCGGTGCCCACGAGGAGCTGGCGCGTTTCACCGGGCCCCGCGCCGATGACTGTCTTCTCGATGGTGGGCGGATTTCCGGGGGTTATGAGCGTGTACTCGGCGCGGCCTTGGTGCAGGACGTGGTACGTCTGATAGAGGAGTGCGAGTAAATTCCCAGTCGCTCTGCAGATAAATTCCAAGAAGACGACGTACGACAGACTTGTTCATGTGGATCACGCCGCTGGGGTTGTCATAAGCCAGGAGGTAGTAGATCGACGTTGCGAGTGACCTCGAGCCGCCACCTGTTTAATCCGCATTGCAACAGAGTCAGAAGGACGACATCCATTCGCCAACGCACACCGCAACTCACCTACAAAAGGGCTGGGTACCTCTTCGCGCTGACGGTCGGTCTCGAGAAAATACCCTGCAGCCAAGTGTCAGCAATAGTATCTCTCTATGGGAATGGGTTAAGGTCGATTGTACGCACCGCCCTCCGGGTGTCTCAACAATCCAAGCTCCTTCACCAGGGGGTTCAGCGTCGGGGAGTTCACAGGCGTGGTCATCGTTTGAAGATCGATAAGGAGTTAATGACGCCGCGTCGTTCCGAAGAACTCAGGGTGATGCTTGAGTCGTCGCCTGCGTTGACTTGGAAGCCGCACTGCTCAACTCAGGGACTGTAATAGACTGCGAAGGAAATACCAGCGGTACGTGGAAGATGGCGTATGTAATATATACCCCTTGGCGCTGCTGGAACATCAGCCAGCCGAAGATTCCCGAATTTGATTGGAAAGTATTAGCCCCATGTATATCAATCGTATCTTCGTACGGCGGCCGTAATGTTTTCACGGAGGCAAACACACCTATGATCGCGTGAAACGAGCTCACCGATCGACTCGGAGGCAAATACTTATTTCGAAAGAGAATTTCCACAGCCTGAAAAGTACGCACCCAACCGCCCGCATGCCGTCATTTTCATTCTTCCACTCAAATGTGAGTTGTTGATGGCCCGGAAAGGAAGGTTTGTTCGTCCAGACTCTTGACGCGACGAGGGCAACTGATTCGCGGCGAGAAAATGCTGGATAATGAAGCCAAGTCCCAATGCGCAAAGTCCAAACAAGAAGTAGGATGTAAGTCTAGCTCACGGGTTCCCCGCACCGACTGTGGCGCCATACGACGGCGGTGATGCGGAGTTTGTCGGAAGTGCGTTGTAATTCTGCTCGAAATGACCCCGTCCAGTATCTGTGCGACACAATGAGATCTAGAAAAATGTATAAGACAATCAGGGCACGCACATATGAACCCGCCCTCGCCGTAGCGCTCCTCGGCCTCCATCTTACGGTAGATGAGCCACAAGGCGTGCTATGCGGTATGAAGATTAGTGTGCCGATAAAACGAGGCGACGGCTGCGTACAATAGTCCCCGGGAGGTATCCAAAACTGTGGGGACATGTTCTCAATGGCACCGCGGTGGGTACTACGAGTTGTGTGCGCTTACATGGTCAGAAGGATGTTTATGAGTAGGTCACACCCGCAACCAGAAATGAAAAACGTTGAGAGCGGCGGACACAAAATTGCCACCTGTATAGGCGGGCGTCAGATTGCCCATTGCTGAACGAGTTACGACCCACGGCAATAAGGAGAAAATCGGTGCTCTTCATGCGTGTTGTGGGTGGCGGAAAATGATAAGCACAGCCACTCGACACTTGTCCCGTGATGATCGCCGCCTGCTACGGAGCGAACTATTGAACTTCAACTATCCTCTTTACAGAGGGTTCTGTTTATCTGTCGGGTCTCCTTAGGCCTCGGTCCGGGGTCATCTGAATAGAATCTAATTCAAAATTCAATAACCACCACGGTCACGTCCTCGGTTTCTCGTCGCATACCGTGACCGTCATGATCGCCGCCTGCTATGGAGCGAACTATTGAACTTCAACTATCCTCTTTACAGGGGGTTCTGTTTATCTTTCGGATCTTATTCTTAGGCCTTGATCTGGGGGTCATCTGAATAGAATCTAATTCAAAATTCAATAACCACCACGGTCACGTGACACGTCCTCGATTTCTCATCGCATACCGTGACCACTGGGCATCGCATATAAACCTGGCTAGTCTATTCTGTCCTGAATGAGAGCCGCCTTTCGATATGGCCACCCCACCGACAGCCGCAAACCGCTCACAGATGACCAAACTGCGCGAGATAATCACCGACGACCCGCACACTTGGGACCAAGCTTGGTGCGCCGTACTCTATGTTCCAATTCATGTCTGACGCCTCAGAAGGGTCGAAAATGTCACCCCATGGGACGTCGGGGTGAGCCAGCCGCCGCTGCGCGAGGTGGTCCAGTCCGGTGAGGTGGCCTTCCCCACGCGCGGTCGGGCCTTTGTTCCCGGGTGTGGATCCGTGAGTATAAGAGAACTCTTCCATTCTACCGCTGGCCTGACTTGACCAAGGGGCACGACGCGATATTCCTCTCTTCCGAGCTCGGCCTCGACACCCTGGCGATCGATATCTCTCCGGTCGCGGTCAAGAACGCGTCCAAGTACAATCCCTTCCTCCTTCTCCACTTATTCCGTCGGTGAAGCACTTCTGACTGTGCGCAGGAACATTCCGGCGGACCTGAACGTCCGCATCGAGGCGCACGATTTTTTCTCCTTCGCAGTCCCCGATAGCGAGAAGTTCGATTTGATATACGACTACACGTCCGTCTCGCCTCTTCCGCTGCTCCGGGTCCTAAAATAAAACACAGATTCTTCGTCGCGATCCCCCCGTCCCGGCGCCACGAGTGGGGCACGCAGATGAACGCGCTGATCAAGCCTGGCGGGTATCTCATCACCCTAGTCTTCCCGCTGGACCCCGAACAGGACTTCGGCCCGCCGTGGTTCGTCCGCCCAGAGCACTATCTGGCGCCCCTGGGCGATGGGTGGGAGAAGGTCGTTGATCGCATTCCGACGAGCTCGAGTCCGACGCATATTGGGAGGGAACGCCTGGTTGTGTGGAAGAAGCTTTAAAGCTTGCCAGTAAGTCAGTGTGTTTGATTACATCCCTTCAATTTATGCTGTTCTTTCGTCATGACCTCCAGCAATGGAGAATCGGAATTCATATGGGCGGTTCCTGTTGTAGAAGAATATTTTCAGTGATGCTAGTGAACTTGCGCATTGTCAGCCTACACAACGGTTCATCAGAAATAACTCCGTGGACGTTTTTCTGGATCCGACTCGAGCTGAACGTGCTTCTAGTTCATTCTTCCATTTGAACATTACCATGTGTTCCGCAAAGTCCTCGTGGATCAATGTGGATCTCCTTGACTTTTGTATACCAGAATTAGCAAGAGTATACGGGTTCGATTCCCAACAAGGACTTAAATTGGAGGAATAGAAGAAGAATTTTTTCGTTCTTTGCATGAGTTCGCCCCTCGGAATGATCCTCGCCGCAGCTTTTTGACCGATCCCGGTTCTCATCGATCTACGCCCTTTCCACGGTTCCTAGTGCGTTCGTTTCGCAAGAAGGACATTTGATCAATCTTATACCCGTCTGTTAGAAACATTGCAGACGTGGACGTGGACAATCGATAAATCTCAGCCCTATTCACAAGGCATCCCCACCGCATTTCTTCGGCTCTGGCTGAAGCCTGGATCTCGCACCCAAGTTTATCCATCCGTCCTCTTTCTCCACATCCCCACATCTTCCGTGTTTGACACGAGGTCCTCGTTGATCAATAGAGATCTCCTCTTTCGTGTTCAACTGCATAATACATGCAGAGGTGACGTGGGTTCGACACCCACCGAGGGCTTACCGCCACCCGCATCTTTCTTCCCATTTTTGCAAGTACAACAGAATCAACTCTGAACTTTTGAACCTTGTCTGTTGGTTGAACGCCATTCCGTATCTCACCTTCGGGCCCGACCGCTCCTGGTCCTCTTCCCGAGCTCAAGATCTCCGGGCTCGAGTTGGGGTCGATGAAATTGTGGCCAGGTATCTCTCACCAACTGCGTAGATAGATTGCGTATGGTATAGGCAGCTCGCAATGTCACACGCGGGGAGCGAGCGGGCGGATAACCAAGTCCAAGGCAAACTTGAAATGATTACCTCGGAGCCCAGGCAGCCCCAATTCATTCGAAATTGAGATCGTCAATCCAAGTCAGCTTGTTGTCACGAACCGGTCAAGCTTAGCTTCAGCTCTAGCCCCTATCCAGTCCGTTCTCACGGTTTAAACGCCCTTCGCATAGTTTTGAACGAGTACGACTGTGACGTCTGTTCAGAAGAATAATTTTGCCGTTGAAGTTGTTACCTACGATAATACTAGTACTTAAGATATTCAAATCGCCCCTCTACAAGTTGGCCCTGCCTCTCTATACTTATCTTCACGGGGCCGTCGTCTCCCTGTTTTTCTTCCTCCTCCTCATGGAACCCAAATACCGGAACTGAGATTCCTGGGCGGCTCAAAATCAAGACACGCACCGAGGACGCGGGTAGCCTTCCCGAAACGGGCGAAATCCTTCTCAACGTACCAGAACCACATAAACTCCAAAATATGGCCAAAGTGGGCGAATTGGAATGTGAGGCCAGCGTCTCCACTACCCTGACGGGTGGCGTCCCTCTGGAACAGAGTGGGTGGCGGGATGATAGGCTTGAGACCAAAGAAGTGTCTGGTGAGGCACTGCACCATTCCGAAGGCCACGGGCCACAAAAGCGAGTGGCGCGCTCGTTAGAGGTTAACAGTTTCCGGCGATAGGTCCCCTGGAGGCTGTAGTAGTCCATCCAGATCCCGCACAGGCTGAACAAATTTAAAAGGTATCGCACCGGATCCCGCAACGCACACAACAGCTCCATCGAGAGGTGCAGCTCCTTCTTTTCCGCTTCTTCGTCAACTACTTATGAGCACCTGGTCCCAGACGATCCCAGCCGGAGATGTGAGGTGTGTATACGACACGGGGTGTTTGCTGAATGAGGAAGTCGTTGACATCCTCTCTCTCGGGCAGCCGGTCTGATCCCAGCTTAGTCTCCAGGATCTCCCGGGCGCTTGGCTGGATTCGGTAATTACCCACAACACAGTCGCGAGGTTTGCCTTGAGCGTACCAGATGGGTGAGAAGTACAATCACCAGGTCTCGAATTGCGGTGTACTGTGGATCACCGTCGACGTTCCTCCGCGTAGAGGGGCTGGACGTAGCTGTGGAGGTTCGGAAACTACCAAACCGTCAGTCCGACACGCTTCTCGCAGATCAAAGACAAGCACCCAGCTCATCGAGTATGGGAGAAGCTCGTTGGGGAGTTGGTGAATTCTTTCTCCATAGATGTCGAGAGGAGAGTCAAGCAGCTATCTATCGGCGTCTCACCCATTTATAGGTTCTTGCCAATAGGTGCGCTCAAAGTTGAGTTCTGCGGCCGGCCGCAGACGCAGGAGAGGTGAAGAGGTGGTGTCAGCCGTGAAGGCCCGAAACTTCTGGAGCCGTTACATCCAGTGAAGGGGCGACAAAAATGGAGACACGTAAGATGAAGATGCGATATTCTTGCCGGCAGTAATTTTAATTTAAAGAGACTAGGTGGTAGAAAAAATTACAGGTTTTTCTGTTGTACACACGCAGACATGCAACTCAGAGGGGCACAAGTTGGTCATTGACCGAATCATTCCAAGAAACCAGGCTGCGATTTATTAACCAAGACTCCTAGAGGAAAGACGGATGCGGGGGCTCACTTGATTTGTCCATAGGCCTGAGAGAATTGTGTCGTGAGCTGAGGGTTTATCAACACCGGCTGAATTTGATATTGGATGCGATTGAGTAGAGCCTGGAGTGGCAATCGAAAGGATTTATCTTCCAGAGCCTCGGGAGGACCGAATATACTTAGACTGACGTGCTGGCCTGGAATGATGAACGTCACGTCGTTGGGAAGCTGAGGGCGGAAGTGAATGACCGAGCTTATGGTTTGGGCCACGTTTGAGAGACTTATGGAGGTGGTGAGCAAACACAGCCGTACGATGAAGATAATGGAGCGAAGACATACGTGTGAGGCGAGGATGGAGGGCAGCTTGTTGGCGGCGACATCCTGGGACAAAGCGAGCCGGCTTATGGTGAAGGGGTCTGGCACCTTTCCGTCGGGATATGAGTCTTTTGTGAGTTGGACGAGACGACGGCGGCGTTCCTTCGCCAACGGGTCAACATTGGTGGGCGTGGTAGGCTTGGGTATGAACATGGAAACGGTGGTCATATGAAGGCCGGTAGATTGCTTGGTTGAATGGAGAGCGACTGGAAGGTTCATCATCAGAGAGGGTGCAAGGGCTCGGAGGTTGAATTACGCGTGGATAACGCGGCGCGACGTTGTGTCGCTAGAGCGGACAACGTGGCACGCTTGGCCTCGTCCTCGCGATGAACGGCCTTGATAACATCCTCGATCGGGATCCCGATGTTTAACTTCACAAGTGCGGCGGCGAGGGAGGAGATTTGAACCACTTGCAGAGAATCAGCCAGAGGAGGTGAGGGCGTCATCCAAGAGGGTCATGTGATCTGAACTTGACATCCGTGATCGCCGTAGTAATCGGCATTCCGGCATTCTTGAAATATTCTCTTTCGAGTCTTATTTGGACCCCTGCGTCAGAATCAAACATTGGAGGGGAGTGATTATACTGCCATTTAAGGGAATAAATTATTGTGAATGGGCCTAATGTGTTTAAAAGAGAGAAATATGCTTTGCGGCGTCGGCCGTGCCGATTGATGGCAAGACGGTCCGAGGTAGCCGAGTAGGAGGCATCCAATGTCATCCCATCTCGTTGTGAAACGCGCGCGTCGAACCGAGAGAGCGTTGTGTCTGTGATCGAAGGTGTGATGGACAAACCAAAGACATGTATACGATTGCCTGTTGCTTGAAGCGGAAAGGCGATCGATTCAGAGGAACCGAAGTTGACCATTGCTGTATATTGGTAGCGTTCAAGTTCTTTTTCGTTCCCTCAAAGTGGTATGGGTGGCAATACATATGATACTCGGCTGGCCCTGTACGTGATTATTGCTGCCCGATTAACGGTGGCCCAGACCCACCAATTCTTCGCATAAACTGGATGTAATTTCACTGACGACGAGTGAACTCACGGTCAACCGTATAAGACGAATTGTGGCGAATTTCAAAGAAAACACGGAGAGCATGGGAGCTTCGGGAGAGTTAGCGACTGGCCGCCTGGGCCAGGATTCTCACTCACGCCCCCGTTCCACCCCCCGCGTATAGGAAATGGAGCTCGTGGACGAAAGTGGGCTTCTGCAGCCGAAGCACTTGGCCGGCAGCTAGGACATTGTCGTCGGTTTCGTCCCATGTGGATGGGAGTGAGAACTGAAAGGTATTTGAGCCCGCCTACGGTAACGACGGCACAAAACCGGAACCCACGGTAAGACTGTCATACTCCCACGAACCCGTCAGTGAAAATTGACCGTCATACGCAGCACCGGCGCCGTCGAAGTCCGCGATGAAGTCGCGCCCGCCGGTTGAAGTAGCCGCCTTGTTATTGAAGAATTCATTCAGGGGAAGAGCCTCGGAGGGATACTGAGGCAGGGTTGCGTATCCAGTAAAAAACTGAGCACAGAGGCCACTGAACAGCAGAAAAAGGGCTTGGATCGCCACGGTGGGGGAGTAGTCCTTGAGCAGCTGGCATGCGTACCCATCCGAGTCCTCGTGGGATTCCAGGAGGTTAGATGACGCTTGAGGAAGCTTGGGAAGCTCACAGTGGGAAATACTTGGACGAGGTCCAAGGCATGTCCGGAGTTCTGATACGCAAGAGTCCGCATGCTCCCCTCTCGAATCTCAAGGTTGTGGTTGAATTTGGGGATTCCAAGTTGGAAAGGTCTGACACGTGCCCGGATCAATAACATTTGATATCATTCCGAATATCTCACGGTTGGCATTGACACCGCGGGGTAAAGAGGCTAAGTGACGGCAATAGACAGTGCCAGTACCGGAAATCCCTCAAGTGCCCTCCAGGTTCCGTTGATAGTCCGCGAGGTCGGAAAAAAAGTTTTAGGAAACGACGGTACAACTCGAACAACATTTGTGGTGTCAAAGAAATCGCCATCGGTTTTCATTACTCCTCCAGCCGAATAAAGACAACGTAAGTGTGTCGCCGCAATACATATGTAGTATGTACAGATCGGTATGCGCCCGGCTCGACTCGGGAGTTCGGGTCCCGTACCCCCCTGGCATCACAGGCGACGCGCGGTTCGGTTAAGTTTACTCTTGGTTGCCATGGTAGAAGCGGTCAAGTCAGCGTATATGACAAATCGCAGAGAAACTGCCAAAATAGGTTAGCGCAAAGGCACACATGGGCCCGCGATCAATTCCCTTGGATTGTGTTTAGTCTTCTTGTTCTCGCCCTCGCACAAGCCTTGCAAGAGGTTGGAGAAAAGATTTGACACCGACGCCGCTGTTTCATTGAGTATTCTCCATTTTGCGATCAACGTTTCCAAGGATCTCGGAAGCTGTAATTGGTGTAGTATGATTATGGTAAATTCGACCCTGTGGCGTCGATACTGCATGATCGCATAAATATATCTCCATTTCCAAAAATCCATGTCCGCTGTTCTTCTCACCCACAATGTTGCCCCCCCGGCGCAGTGTCTGGCCCCCGCCGCCTCCTGCGACCGAGTCGGACACCGAAAAATTAGCCCGTATTGAAGCTGAACGCGAAGCAAAACGCGTCCGTCGTTCCCGAGTTTATCACATTCTTTTGCTTTACTGTCGTGTGTTTTTTCCAGGTCAGCAATGCTATCGACGACGCCATTGCCCTTGAACGAGAACACCGGAAACGTCCTTCT